GGGAATAACCAAGTTCTTACTCATATACAAACAAATTTAAAGTTAAAAAAGTAGATAATATATTTCAATGTACATGTTTATAGATGTTTACACAGTTATTGTACAATGTTATTTACATTTATATTCATATTGATTTGTTTTTTGTTGTGAAATTATAGGAAGCTATATATGAGTGTGTTAAGGATAATTGTAATGTTTAAAAATATAAAGGTCACGCGGGTAGCTAAATTTGAGTTAAATCTGTAAATAAAGTTTCACGACAAGAGCTTATAAGAAACAAATATTATCAAATATATCTTACCATTTTCTATTAATATCTAACATTTCCAACAAAAACTTGTATTCAAATAAATTCAAACGTATAAAGTAACAAAAAGTATCAGAAAAAGAAAACCACGCTGTCCCTCATTCAATAGATCGTAACAGATAATATTCTTAAAAGAATCGATAACGGTAGAACAAACAAAAGTATTTAAAGTTAAATATATCAAAATACCAACACCGACAAGTTAAGATGAAGTTCTACGAGCCTCAATCAAATTAAGTGCCAGTCTTTGTAAGAATCAGGCAATTTTGAAAAAAAATCAAAACATGGCCGAAAAAAACCCACCGACCTAACCATCATATTTTGAAGTTACCATCACCCTGAGTTAGAAATTGTAGGTCTTTCGTTTCTGCGTGTCTGGTAATTCGAGAAATCTCTAGATAAATTTTGGTTAGAATGATAGCAAATTACGGAGTTAGCTCCCCTTAATTTTTAATTTCTAGTGCATTTTCAACCAAATTATATCTTGAATTACCAGAACAGGACAAGGAAACGAATGTTATATTCATGCACCATTATACATTCTGAACAGATATTACTGAAAAGTTCAGTGGATTTTTGTTTGTCATGTTTTCACCACTGCCTGATTCTTAGGCAGATTGGCACTTAATTCAATAGTAGTTTACCAATCCTCAAATCTCATTAATCGATAAGAAGACAAATCAAGGTTATAAACAAAAACTGAGGAGATCTCTTGAACTACAAAAAAGGGATAAAGATGCTTCCGAAAGACCATAGGTTCGTTGTCGACAGTTATACCCTTTGTGCTGCTCAACTTTATTATAACGAGCATCTCTTTCAGTAGCTTTCTTATAAGCAGTATCCCTCTCTCTAGGAAGTCTTGATATGTCCCAAAATTCTGGATTATTTATTCAGAACAAAACTTTTGCCAATTTGCAGGTGCTGTAGCAATAAAATGAAAATTGTACAGATTTTGAAATGACTTTAAGAAAATTTGAACTCTAATTAGCATTTCAAAATACATGTTTTTAAATTATACGTCAATATCTCCTAACGTCTCTATGTATTCATACCTCCCTGGTTTCAAATGTTTGGATTCGAGCATTCCTGATGAACGTAAATCAAGAAATGCTTTTGCAACGCAGAGGTGTAAAGTTATAGCTTATTTTGACAAAGTTGTTACAAACGCTATGGCGAAACAAAACTTCCTTGTATGAATCGTGCTGAATATTTCTGTAATATATTTGACATGCAATGAAAATGTGCTTTGTTATCTAATGAAGCAATATCAGCTAATGGAGATAAAAAGAGATTCGCTAATTAAAAGTTTTCATGCAAAATATTTTTCTATAAAGATAGCAATGATCTTCAACATCTAATGGTGCTTATGATAATATACCGGGTGCACCAGTTATTCTGATATGAAAATAAAAAGGAAGGGAATATTAAAGTACCGTAATGACAGAAATGCCTTAAAAAAATTCACAATCTTTAATGGATAAACCATAAGGTCTCTTAAAACAGTAAAGTAGATTAGAGTCTTTGTGTACTTTGCCATTTATTAATAAGGTATGTTTAAGATAAACAAATGAATTAAAGAAGTTTTAGGATAAGCTTCAATAACCCAGCAATATATGAGTCTTTTTTATTATTGGAGGGATGTGGTATGATTGCTCATGAGACAACTATCAACCAGAGACTAAAGAGACTTGAGAATCATTCATAATCTTTACATTTCCCCCGTAGAATACACTAAGTCACTGAGTGATGTATCAGTAAATAATTGGACTATTCTAGAGCGATAAAATAGTAACGTGCAAGGCACAAGGCACAATATATGTATACCATATATCAGTCGAAAAATTGGGCGCCAGTAGGTAACGTTTACAAATTACATCACGCTAAACTGATCTGATTTGTAAAGGTCACAGATTAGACGCGGATCCAAGCTTTGATGTTAGGTGGTTGAGAAGGAGGGGCGCTCTTTAGAATTATTTAGGAGTTAGAGGGCCTTTTTTGACGCAAAATTGGCTGTAAATTTAATTTATTTCACATTTTATTTCTTTTTTAGGGGCGCCGGTTGCACCCCTCCTGAATCCGCACCTGCTGGTAAATAAACGGGGTATACTACATATTTCATGTCAAAACAGAATGTTTTCATATATTATGAAGCTTTAATTTAGTACCTATGCCAAATGCCCATTCCAGTAAGGAGGTTCGATGAATTCTCTTCGGAAGATGAGTGCACACTGGGCTTGAACAAAATTGCTTCCTCCACTCGTAAATTTACTTGTATCTGAAAGAAAGAATTTAATTCATTAAAAAGAAACATATTCAGTTAGAATCAACGTTGTCCCGAGCCAGTCTAATCAAGGTGATTCTTATATATAACAATCTTCGTCTTATGCATATTTGTTTAGTTAAACTATAGTGCTGCATTTTTCTTTTACAGTCCCTTCCTTATTCGTGAGCCTCAGCACGAAGTCTATTTATAATAATTAAAATGAAACCAACTGAAACTGAGAAGTATCCTTAAATAAAACAAATAATAAATCCTTCTGGAAAAAAAAACATCCAAAAACCATTTTCACGAAAGATTTGTTGTTGGTGGATGGTGTGATATGTTGTATTGTTAAATATATTTGGCTAATTTCAGTTACTTTTTATTGGCATTGATAACCATTCAATGAATTAATATGTATCAAACAAAATAATATGTATCCACTTTTCATAAATGGTTTGGAATAACTGTAAATTCAGAAATGTTTGTGATATTTTATAATCATTGCCGAAAATGAGCCGATATGGATTTCGCAAAAATAAAAACTTGCATTTTTAAAAAGAATATGCAGTCAGAAAAATATGATTTGTGTGAAAATTTATAATGCAGTTGTAATATATAGAAAAGAGATTTTTATTCTAACAATACTGGAAATAAATTCGCAGACGATACCAATTATATAATGAAAAATCGTACGTGGAAGGAAAACCCACAACACCATGTCCAAAAAGAAAAAATGATGAACAAACAATCACACTCTACAATAGTGTATACAAATAAAGTAATGAGTGATCAACAGGAACCATGTCCAAACCGAAGGGTGTTCTTGGGTGTACGGAAATCTAAGTAGTTCCTACTCCAACAGTGTCATCGTCCTGTTACACATTGACAACAAGTCGGTGACAAGTCTCTTAATAATACAATAATCTTGACAATACACATCAATAAAATTGAGAATGGAAATGGGGAATGTGTCAAAGAGACAACAACCCGACCATAGAACAGACAACAGCAGAAGGTCACCAACTGGTCTTCAATGCAGCGAGACTTTTTACCAATTACGACCAATGTCAAACAGGTGGGTTATGGGGTGTGATTCGGACACAAAGGGTTTTCACGGTGTTGTTTCAACTTTGTTTACCCTTGATATCATATTGTTTAATTTTTACTTATTCGAAAGTGTATACTCTATATACAGTATATACTATCAACGACAAAAAATTTTGTTGTTTACTTTATTGTCAAATTTAAACTTTATTGTTGGCGTCTTAATGTGATTAATTTATACTTAATTATTATAAAAATAAGAAGATGTGGTATGAATGCCAATGAGACAAATCATCACCAGAGACTAATGAAATAGAAGTTAACAACTATAGGTGGCCGTTCTTTTGTTTGAATTCCTTAATCAGTTGTTGTGTATTTCTGTGATGCATGTTTACTCAGTTTTGGCTGCTTGATCCCAATTATTGTCACACGAACCTTTTATTTCTGTTTGGGTTGCACACTCAATTTTTGTCAATATAACGGAACTATAAACAACAGTCATACAAGTAGGAGGTTAAGCTTGCTATAAAACCAGGTTTAACCCACCATTCTTTTGTGCCGGAATATGCCTGTACCAAATCATAAATTTTGCAGTTGTTTTCCACTTGTTCCGATGATAGTGTTTGATTTTGTCAGTTTTGATGGACTTCCCCTTTTTAATTTGCCTTGGAGTTCAATATTTACTTTTTCACATGTAGAACATACGATTTTCAATCATGAAATTTTAAATGTTGATTTTTACTGAAAATCTATTTGGAAGTATGTTATTCTGATCAGAATATCTTCTTTGAATAGTTATAGTTTCGTGTCATTAATTAACTCTTTTTCCAAAGAAACGATGAAAAACAAAAGATATACTTTTTATGTAATATTCTGAATATATCATACTTTTTAACAATCCGATTTAAAACTCTCTGTAGTTCTAAAATTTTAATTCATTTTTTATTGATATGATGCAAAAATCTAAAGAGGGGAACTTCCTTGAAAACATTAAATGTTTGAAATAATGTCATATTTGGGTAAATAATCTTAAAATATATGCTGATTAGATTGTTTGTTTATAAGTCGAATGAAGAACCACATTACAAGCTTGGTATCTTTCATGAGATTTTATGCTGCATGTATTAATATCGTAACATTGCAGATTTTTTTTTAAAATGAAATAAGTATTATTCATTGATATTATAATGATAATACTAAATACAATCATTATAGACACCAGGCTTAAAATTTTGTACGACAGATATCTACAAAACACTCTTTCTTCAGTGACACTGGAATCAAAAATCATAATTCCGAACGATTTTGCCACATACAGCTAAGGTAAAGTATTCCTGGGGTAGAATTGAAAGATTGCAGTTAACAAAAAAATACATTTCCTTGCAGGTTGTTGAATTTTTAAACAGTATGTATTCAATGTTTGATGAACGTATAGATGTTTATGATGTGTACAAAGTAGAAACCATTGGTGATGCATACATGGTGGCCAGTGGGGTTCCGAATAGAAATGGTCTTAAGGTAATGAAATATACTAGTATTCAGATGTTTTCCGAAAAAATAGGTATAAAAGTAATGGAATTTAGAACTTCAAAGGTGCTTCGAATAGAAATAGTAGAAAGGCAATGAAATTGAGAAAAATCATTTGTGATCCGTATAGAAATTGTATAAATTTACTGATCCCGAAATCCCGGGCTTAAAAACATGAAATCACGAGGTCCCGAATTGAAAGAAATTTAAATCCCGACATCCCTAAATTCGAAAAAAGAATTCCCGGATCCCGAAAGGATAAATCCCGAAATCTCGAGCTTCAAAACACCAGATCCCGGAGTCCCGATAAAGGTCCGACCCCCCCCCCCCCCCCCTGGTCTATCGAAGTGTAAACTGTAAGAAAGGAATTCTAAGGGTCAAATCACATTCAGGTATTTGTAAATATGCAAATCAAATAAGAATTATCAACATTTGATATTGACCTCAAACAAGTTTACACATGTATAATATCACTTGTTTTTCACGATGAACATTTTTAACTTTGTATATAAATAGTTTTTAATATATAAGAATAAGGAGATGTGGTATGATTGCAAATGAGACAAGTATCAACCAGAGTTCAAATGGAGTGGATGTAAGTAAGTATAGGCCACCGTTAGGCCTTCAATATAAACTTTTTTTTTTTTAAATAAACAATATACATATTAATTAAACAGCACAATATAAAATTATGTGCACATATAATATAATTATTATTGAGTTGCTATCCCATTTTCTATTACAATTGAATTATAAAAACTGGAGTTTATTATAAAGCTTTGTTATTATCATTATGTATACTTACAGCACGCAGAGGAGATTGCTACGATGGGCATAGACCTAGTAGCATCAATAAAACAGCTTAAGATTCCACACAAGAAGGAAGAGCATATCAGAATACGAGTAGGCATACACACAGGTATTATTTGAATTTGATTTAATTCTTAGTGTGGGAAATGTTTTGTTTCAATTTGATAACTTGTGAAGTAATATAATGCTTTATAGTTATAGCATTGCTGATTTTGAATTTCTTTGATAAAAGCAAGTTATCGATGACTCAAAATGTGCAATCTGAAAATGAGAGTCAACTGTTCCTGATAAAAATAATCCTCAATCAGGTACGCTCGAGAAGAAAATGCGTGCAAAACGTAATCTTATAGAAATTACAAAATGTAGGTATGCATTAAATCTATGACAAAAAAAAAATTAAACAAAAATTAAATGTTCGTCTCTTTTATTTTTTCACGAAGACCTTGAATGATTAGACCTCACATCAATAATGAAAAAATCATGTTGGTCACCATGAAATGGCAACTGCCTATTAAAAATATAACCCCCAAAGAAGACAAATATTATGTCCATCTAATGAAAATAAGTATCTTGAAGATTTCATTTAAAAAAAATGTTTTGTTAGAAAAACGTATTGTGTAGAACGCTCTCATAAAGAAATACCTTCCGTAGTATTGTACATTATTTATTTAGTTTATTGACAGATATAAGATCTGACACGCAAGAATTTCAAAATTGATTTGATTGAAAGTCGACAGTTAAAACTTTCTATTTGGAATTATCATTTCACATTTACCTAATTCGCATGTAGTTACACAAATTTAGTTATAAACCAATATGTTTAGCGTAATAAAAGTCAGTTTATTTGATTTTTTTGTTAAAAAAACTTATTTTTAACGAAGTAACGGCAGATTTATACATTTTATCTTTTGTTCATACACTAGGGTCCATGTTTCTATTCAGATTTTGATTGAAATAAAAGACATATAAAAAGTCTCTTCAATACATAATCAATACAAACATTTTATTTAATACATAACTTCATTAAGGTATTATGTTTGAAGTGCACTTGAGTCTATTGATAATCCTTTATCTGGCTAAATACAAATGGACTTCAACTGCACTAGAAACATGTTTACTTATAATACGGTTTTTATCATTCTTATACGCACAGATCAAGTGTCATATTCCTGCGCTAATGTTTGATGATACTATACTGTTATCTATCAATGATGCATTCAGACCATGCTTGCCATAGACACGATTCAGTATCAAAACAGTAATTTTGATGCTGCTTTTTCCTTGTTGTAGATTTATATTTCTTTATCATGGAAAAGAATTGATATTGTGTATATTGTCATGACCCAAAGTAACTGTACACTTGAACAAAAAAAAAGAGAAAAGGAAAGGAACAGAAATTGATCGCACAATCGACATTCACTCTCTGAGGATAAATATTTATTTTTTTCATAACAGGTTTTAGGTTTCGTACATGTTATTATCATAAATCATTTTAGAATTTTCTATTGAAGTTACTTATATATCTTTAAAAAAATGAATGAAACACAAATATATTTCCCCACTTTTCACGAGTAATTTCTTTTTTGAGTGTTTTTTTATTAATTTCTCTGGCAATTAGCAAAGTCAACAAAAGATTTAAGTGAATACGTTTACTTAGATATCAAAATGGTAAAAAAATAGTACTACATATTAACAATCCCTACTCCGTGTAAACATCCCAACGAAACGAGTTTTGAGTAATGGAGCAATTTATAAATTAAAAAAAAACTTACACTTTTGCATGCCTCGCCTTAACTTCTATAGCAATATAAATAATGCGTTTGTGCGTCTGTCAATCTATCAATAATCCGCCCAGTATTAGATAAAATTAAGGTCTTTGCCAGGAAGATGCCCCGCAGTTGTGATTACATGAATTGGCAACCTTGAACACTTGTTTATTTTGGTGTGCATCTTTTACAATATATATCAAATGAGGGTTAAGACCAAAATTTCACGCTTTACTTAACATGGAAATATGCTTGTGTGAGAGAAAATATGTCATTCGGATACACATTGTAAGGAGGTTATTTTTCTATTAAAATTTGCGAATACAACCAACAGCACATTCTCCTTTGAATACTGTTTAAAACAAAATTAGTGTGTCTTTAAAAGATTAACACCGCAACTGACAACTGGTTTCGATATAAAAAAACTGATTTTGTTCACCGATTAACGATTAGTTTCTGAAAAAAAAACTAATAATATGTCTGAATTCATTATGAATGACAAAGTCAAACAAATAAGGTTAACTTTTAAGATTCTTCAACTGTTTTGACAAGGGTAAAACATAAACAAAATGTAGAGGTGGTATGGTGACTTATCTGAAAACTATCCACTAAAAACAAAAAGACAAGGATGTAAATAAGTACAAGTCATCGTACGGTTTAACCATAAGCAAATTCCATGCTGTAAAGTAAGGTTTAAATTGTACAGGAATGACAAATCAGATGCAACAGTAGTTATCCGATGTTCAAATATCATACATTTATTAATGATATACAAAGCCAAGATATCAAAAACTGTTGGGATCGCATAAATCTAAACCGAACGAGACCGAATTTGTCGACATGTTGAGCGTCTTCTAATAAGCATACATCACCCACAGTGCGAATACATTCTCAGTCAATTGGAAAATGTACATATCAGACGACTTTTCTGGTTCCAAAAATATTTAAGATTGTGAAAGATGTCTCATGTGAGTTGAGACACAGACACATCGTATCGGTCAGCCCATTCGTGGTGGTGACCATGCTTGCACGAAACATATCAATGAAGATAACAAAATGTGAAACAATTCATCTTGCAGTTTTTTTTTAATCTTCTGAAATTAGGCGAAAGGCGCGAACGTCATACGTCAACTAACGACAACCATGGTTTTTTTACCTTTTCAACTGCTTAGGAAACAGCATAATTTTCCACGAATTTTATGATTCATTTATAACACTGTAGTCAAATATTTTAAATTTAATAAGGAAACTGTCAAACTTTCATGTAGCAGTTCAATTTTAGCTTATTTTAGTAATACGAATATTGAACCATTCTCGATAATTAAAGCTAATTCATCAGGAAGTATGACAACTTTTTTGTTTCATATGCTGGTCACATATTTTTTAATTAAAAAAGGAAATAAAAGTCCCTTTCACTATTTCTGATACGACGTAAAAAGCATTTAAAATTAAAAGTTCATTTGTATTTCAAGTTTCCCAATGCTTACAATTGCGTCGTTCTCAATAAAATATTTCGAATAAAATAATCTGCAGTCATTTCAATAAGTTGTGATTTAACACATATCTTTTGTTTGTCATTTTTGGCGGGGATGCCGGCCCTATATTTTGACGAAAAAATTGATTGTGGGCCCGCACAACAATGTTTTCTACTTCTTGATAACTTGATAACAAATAAGTACATCCGTCTTGAATCATTTCAAAATCGTAAATTTATAAATTATATAATTTTGCAAAAAAATCATTCTGGTGTATTCGACTATATTTTGCATATGTCTGTCAAATATATCACACAACAAATGTAATGATTTCAATTTTTTGTTGATTATTTAATGAACTTATTGAATTTTGATATTTATACATTTCTATACTTAAGTTGAAAACGGACAATCATGAGGTACGAAAACTGCTCATTTCGATATCACTTACTTTGCATAAAAAACCACGACAAATTTGCAATTTTGCTATAGGCATCTATCATATTCAACTGTGAAAAAAAACAAGGTACAATTTAGCCTTGTCAGACGTTGTGAGTCAATAAATGCTTACTGAAAATGAAAATTATATCAGTTTCTGTAAACCAGACTATTTTAATGTATCAAAACACCTTAGCATGAAAACTTATAAAGCGTTGTGTTCATTGTTTATCATCCTTGTTGCTCTAATTGATTTATACATTATGATACATTCCAGTCGATTGTATGAGTAAGTTGAAAATTAAACCTTATTGTATAATAAAAATATTACAAATGTACGAACACAAGGCATTTTTCAGAGCATTTAAATATACATGTATAAGCAAATCATTTACATAAGTAAAATGATGAAATGTAAGCCCTTTAAATATCATGCAATGTAATTTAAACCTGTCAAAAAATTCTGTTTTTCAAAACAGTGAAGTACAAAGTTACTCTTTTTAATTGACGTCATATATGTTAAATAAGATAATGTAGACAAGCCCAGCATCGCTTCGTTTTGAATTCATGTGATTCCCACTGTTTGCTGTAAGTGTTTATATATTGTTAAAATATTTACGACATTTGAACACCGGTAAATTACTGGTGCTTCTTTATAATATTTAGAAAAAAACGTTCTCATGTTACAACACAATGTACAAAGCTGACACTTTACTGGGCCCCAATCATCTATCAGACTGTTGACACTGATAAAGTTTCCTATCTTACAAAAGAAAATTATTACATTTCAAAGGAATAACTAAATTGAATTATCGTTAATTTTAATGTCTGATTTTGGTGCACATCTTTGAAAATAGGAGAAAAAAATACGCAAACTTTTAATAGTTTAATAGAACGTTTATCCTTCTGGAGCACACGATTCCCCAATTGTTGGAGGGATAGTATTGATCCGTCTTAAATTTGATTTGTAGTGTTTTGTGAACACATTATTATTGTGTTTTATTTGCCATGGCGTTGTCTGTTTCTCTCGACTTATGATTTTTTAATTTTCCCTTAGCTACTTCCGTCTATTTTTTTTTATAAATGCCTGTACCAAGTAAGAAATATGACAGTTGTTTTCCATTCGTTTGATGTGTTTGAGCTTTTAATTTTGCCTTTTCGTAAAGGAATTTCCGTTTTGAATTTTTCTTGGAGTTCGATATTTTTGTTATTTACTTTTTATTGTGTGTAAGTAGGGTAAATAAGTCGAATCTCTTTCATTCATACTAATTTGCAGCGTTATTGTCTGTGTAGCTAAAGAAAATATCGATGCAGCCTTTTAATCTTATTTTAATTAGGATTTTATATTAGAGTCTCACTGTTAAGTAGTACCGTTTCTTTTAGATTTTTTAATCTTTGAAAGTTTAATCTCTTTTTAAGATATTTCAATACTACTTGTTCTGGGATTAAAGAGAATAGGAAATGATTTAAAAAAATATCTTTTTTTTGGTACAAAAAAGCTAATACACTCCTCCTTTGTGCAAAATTTCATCAAAGATACAATTCTAAGGAGGCTTATCATCTTGTACCTCAACGCGCTTTCGTCTAAAAAAGACTGATCAGTTATAGCATTTAATATAGGACTTCTTACTAAATAGTTTTCGCTAATCAACATTTCAAGTAAAATATACCAGCAAACATAAGTGGTAATACTCTTATTAAGGTGGTACCTAACACTACAGGGAGATAACTCTGTAAAAATCAACTTAACGTTTTAATCACGTTGTATAATGAAGGAAATATTAAGCTTCTCAATGATAAAAATTTGTGTTTGTCAAACTGCTACATGACCAGTGAAATTTTTCTGATAAAGTGGTTGGTTCAAATTATTTGAAATTTTTATATTTTTGTCAAAGGGTCAAAGTAAACATTTTGTCAAAATTTTGTGAAAATTAAACGAGCCAAATTAATATTAGTCAAGGTGATGGGTACCACCTTAAGGATGTTCGCTCCTCTTGTTTTTGGATTTTTGCCACATATTCGGAATCCTCTGGTTTTATCCATGTAGTATCATTAAAAAAATTTCCCCGCTAACCCCAACTTTTCTTTTTATAATTTAATTACTTATAGTTTAAAAAATCAAATTTGAAATCCTATAAAATCCTTGTTATTTTTTCATAATTTTTTAAAGTAAAAGTTATAATAGTCTTTTAAAAAGCGTGTTATTTTGAAACAGAGTAGCGAACATCCTTAAGGCGGAGAGACGTTATATATTAAAGGCATATTAAAAGGCATATTGCACACGTCATGTCTTCTTTGACTGTCCATGACGTTAAAACACTAAATCCCTAGGTTGTGTTTTAGTTGATTTTAGTCTCTGATGCATGATTTTTTATTATTAATTGTTTTTGGCTTTTAACAAGATTTCAGTAACTGCGAGTATTCTCAAATCGTACTTTCGTATTAATTTGACCTGTTGATACAATTTGTAATGTATTTTTGATATTCAATAATTTCTTATTCAGTGTTATATCTCGTCTCACTATTTTGAATAAATACCACCTATGATGGGTGTTTAGTATGACGATAAATTTTCACTTTTGTATTCGTACAAGGAACAACAAAATTATTTATTTTGTAAAAATTATTTCCGTACTCCATGTATACCTGACAACAAAATTATTTTTATTTACATGTGTATGTTGTTTTATTTGGCGGCATTTTGTCAAAGGTTATGGTTGTCTTTCTGATACTGTTTTACATCTAACCCCCTTGTTTTATTAATTTTGTATTTACATTGTGTCATAGATCAAATTTATTCGTTCAGTGTATGTTCACTTGTTTTTGTTAATATATTTTTTGATTGAGTTAAGCCATTTCAATTGATATTTTATAGTGTGTCTTTCTATGTTGTGATGTTACACTATTGTTTCAGGTAGGGTGACGATTGGAGCCTATTAAAACGTTTAAACCTGCTGCAATTGTTTGCACCTGTTCTAAGTCAGGAACCTGATGTTCAGTTGTTGTCGTTTGTTGATGTGGTTCATAAGTGTTTCTCGTTCTTTATATAGATTAGACCGTTGGTTTTCCTGTTTGAATGGTTTTACACTAGTCATTTTTGGGCCCTTTATAGCTTGCTATTCGGTGTGAGCTTCATGTTGAAGGCCGTACTTTGACCTATAATGGTTTACTTTTACAAATTGTGACTTGAATGGAGAGTTGTCTCATTAGCACTCATACCACATCTTCTTATATCTATATATGTATTCCTTTATTTTTTGGTTATCTTTGGTAGACTTTTTATCAACTAACCGTCGGACGTCTTATAACCATGATGTCCTTTCTCTGAATATTAAGATAAGATAAACTACAATGTTGATTACATTTTTTCCCACTGAATTGAACTTGTAGCAATGGACCAATGTCAAGCTCGAACTTATCTCCACATCACAACAGATTGAGAAAATTGCTTTAGCTTTCAATTGTAAATAGCAATATTCAAAAAGGACGTGCAATTGTTTAACTTTGATAAAGTATAACAAAAATACAAAACTCCAAGTTAAAATAAAAAAAAAAGGGAAATGACCAAATCAAACGATGTTAACCAACTGAACGAATGGAAAAGAAATGTTATGTCCTGACTTGGTACAGGGATTTTTTTATTTTTTTAAGTTATGAATAAATTCCAGGTCCTCTGTTTTTCTATCAGTATGTATTTAATAGACAATTGCTTCTTACAATCTGCCGAAAATGTTTTATCTTTTTTATAAGGATACATGTTGTTCAATCTTTAGTATTTGAATTGTATTTTGTAGATTGTTGAGTTTGTCATTTCGTCATTTATATTTTTGTCAATGGTTTTGTCTGTTTTTCTTTGATATATTCTTTGATTCCTCATTCATTTTTTCATCTCTTTTAAAAAAGTGTGTTTTGTTCTTTAATGATTCCCACGGAACAGGGAAAGTGAAACTGAACATGGGTTATAATTTAATGCGCAGATAGATAAATGAAAAAAATGAAAGGGTTTGGTGGGTTATGTATGATATAATGGTATTTTATTTTTTCATTATCAGGTCCATGTGTTGCTGGTGTAGTTGGAATTAAGATGCCGAGATATTGTCTGTTTGGGGATACAGTTAATACAGCTTCCAGAATGGAGAGCAATAGTTTACGTATGTTTATGATGGTATAAAGTAGCCGAATGTTTTTATAACAAACACAATAACTGTATTTATCACATTAACATATTTCAAAACGTGAAGGTAATTTAATGTTACGCATTTATTAAAGACAGTGGTAAATGAAATCATGAATGCTGAGTCCGAAGCGTTTTTCTGGATTATCATCATTAGGAATACTTTAAAGCGCAATGTGAAATTAAAGCCCAGGAAGCTTTTAAGGTGGTACCTAACACTACAGGGAGATAACTCTGTAAAAATCAGCTAAACGTTTTAATTATGTTGTATTGTTAAGGAAATATTAAGCTTCTCAATGATCAAAATTGGTGTTTGTCAAACTGCTATATAACCAATGCAATTTTTCTGATAAAGTGGTTGGTTCAAATTTTTTGAAATTTTTATATTTTTGTCAAAGGGTCAAAGTCAACATTTTGTCAAATTTTTAGGAAAATTAAACGAGCCAAATTAATATTAGTCAAGGTGTTGGGTACCACCTTAAACTACTTGATAAGCTAAACTGATGTTAATGATATAGCTGTCAGTAACTAAATCTGAAATCAATTATCGTCGTCGAAGATAACTACACACTAGTTTACTTGTATCTCGTTACTGATCTCGTACATAAAGCCTTAAACCACAAGTAACTCCCCCGAACACATGATGTTCCCATAATGCAACGTCAATTTGTAACTGATGAATTGGTCATATTGCATGTAGCTATTCATATGGCTATGATGTACTTATTGTGACATCAACATTATTTTAATTTCGGAAATTGTGGCCTAATGAAAAAAGTTTCCAGAAGTAAAAACAACGAGTGCAGTTAGTTCCGTTGAGAAAATTCCTATGATAGACAGATTAATTAGTTTTGTTAAACGTCTTTGTTTTCAGCCTTAAAAATTCACATTAGTAGAGAAACACGAGATATATTAGAAGCAACAAGTAACTACGAAATAACATCACGTGGTGAGATTAATATTAAGGTAAGTTGAAGGCTTTTAAAAAAAGTCTATAAAAAAACACCATCCAGCAAATTTAATGTGTACTAAAAATATGCGATACTGTGCAGATAGGAGGAAACATAAAATAACATTACACATAAATATATATAATAAGATTATTGTTACCATATTTATGATAATTGGCCCAAGCATTATATCATATTGTAAGAGCTTTCGTGAGTAATATAATATACTGCTAGGAATACTATTCCCCAGTGTAATAGGTAATCCTTTTACAATGTAGCTTCTTTAATCTTTACAAAAGAAATCATTTTTTTATAAATACAATACTGTTTTAACGTTGTTTTTTTTTTTGCCCCGCATTCACCGGAGGGGCATTAAGTGTTACCCTTGTCCGTCAGTAAGTACGTCCCGAAATTGGTTTCCGTTCTCTAAATTTAAATGTTATGAAACTTATACACAATGCTTATTACCACAAAATACAGATCAAGTTTGAATTTTGGGGGCGTCACTTTTACCGTTCTCAAGTGTTGCCCTTATATAACGTTATATGTAATCGGGGGCATCATCTGTGTCCCATGGTCACAATCTCCATTTTTTTATGCCCCACCATCACGGGAGGGGGCATTAGGTGTTACCCTCGTCTCGAAATTGGTTTCCGTTCTCTAACTTAAGTTTGCCTCAACCAAATATTATGAAAACTAAAGCACAATGCTTATTACCACAAAACACACACCACGTTCGAATTTGGGTGACGTCACTTTCACTGTTCTCGAGGTATGCCCCTTTTCAACGCAGAAGGCAGTGCTACAGAAAAAAGATCAATTTATCAAACCTTTAATAATAATTTGAAACTATTAAGGAACGATGATGGAACTAAGAAATTTAACTCTGATGGTTGGTTACCATATTCAAGCGGGGGCATCATCTGTGTCCCACGGACACATTTTCCTTTTATTTACATATAATTTGAGATTTTTATATAAGTTTTTTAAAGTGTTTTGTTTCATAGACGATTAAAGCAGTTCTTGTGTAGATACTTTTTTACGTGTGTTTACAAATGCAATATTTCTTTATAAATACGTAGTATTTTGTATGTTGATTTATTTTTATTTGATATCTTATAAGCGAACATTCTTCAAGTTGCATTAGTTATTATTGATATTGGAAATGCTTAGTATTTAATGTATTCTTTCTGTAAATAACTAATAAAATTATTGCATAAAAATTTGAATTTTTACACACAAAAAATATCTACGGAACATACCTGGTGCCATAATTATAATAAGCGTTTCCAAATATTGAGTAAAAATAGTACGATAAAAATCTGAAGTTTACTTTAAAAAAAGTAAAAAATACTATTCTATTCTTGACAAGAAATATGTTACTTATATTCTAATATATACCTCCTCCAAACAACGAATGCAGCTTTATGTATTATACGAACATTGCATATTCAAAACATGAAAACAACACACCCGAAGCGCTTTTCTGCATAGGTAATTATAGTTCTCTGGATGTTTCCGTATCATTGATTGTTTCTGAATCAACTACAAATATAAACATATTGGGATTGAGTGTGATTGTCAATGTGACAGCTTTCCACAATAATTCAGAGGACGCGGATGTAAGCCACTATATGTCAACGTAAGTCTTTGAACAATCCCCAAACCCCACACCCTAAAGTAAGCTATAAAAAGGCATCGGTGTGACAAAACATGAAACAATGCAAAGAGAACATAAACGGCCTGAATTTTCTGAACAATAAATGAAAAACAACCAACGACAACCATTGCACCACAAGCATCCGAACTGTTCATAAGATAATATTTCAATTGCAATACTATATACAAAACTACATGGGATTGATCTATGGAAGACAAACCGAGAGTGAGAGTAAAATTAACCAATACCTTCAAGTAAGATATCGAATTCCGTGCGCAATAAGCAGATTTCTTAGATAAAACTATAAAGAGATGTGATATGATTGTCAATAAGACTATCCACCCGAGTCCAAAATGACGTCCATGTAAGCCCCATGAATACGTCATTTTACGACATTCACCAATGAGCGAAACCAATATCGTAAAGTCAGCTATAAAAATGCCCCAACATGACGAAATGTAAAACAGTTCAAACGAGAACCCCAGATTTATGATAAAATAATAAATAAACAAATATGACATACAGCAACTCCTGACGTAAAACAATTCAAGCGAGAACCCAAGATTTATGATAAAATGATAAATAAACCAATATGTCATACAGCAACTCCTGACATGGGACGAGAATATACAGAAAAACCGAATGCTTACTTGGTGTTAACCTCTGGAACTGTACATTAATCTATTTACCATTTTGTTATTTCGCTTATAACTTCGAGAGGAAGTATAGAGTCCTTGAAAAACTAGTACAAGTAGACCGCAACAAAAAACAAGCATATAGTAGTATCACATACGGCAACTACTGACGCTGTTCTTGAGTTTGTATAGATCTTTGAACATGTGGTGTTAAATTAGGGTTTTTAGACATAATCCTCCTTGATTATGCTAATTTGAATACTTCAGGGGAAAGGAGCTATGGTAACTTACTGGTTAGACGGTAGAAAAGACATGTCGGCGGCAAACGATACAATGGTATGTTTATGGCAGCCAAAGAAAAAATCGAAGAAAAAGAAACAAAACTCTGCTGCTGATCTCAATAAAAACAGTGACAATAAAACCATTCAGGAAAATGCTGAATCAAACATGTCATTGGACGGAAAGAACACTGAATGCATTAACACCGTAGCTGACGGAAAAACAAATTCATCAACTACTACTACTCCGGTCAACGGCCTGATAGTTGATAAAACAGATATTATTAAGAATGAGACCAATATAAGTAGTGAAAAGACTACAGAGATATCGAATTTTGATGATATAAGTGTAGATCATCAAATTGACAAATATAAAAATTATGATCAAATCGACGACAAATTCAAAGAAACTAGTTCTAAAACCTTAGGTGATACAAAAACGGTTTTTAAGAATATTTTTAGAGAACAAACAAACAATTCATTGATAAATCAACAAAACATCGACACTGGTATTATTGAAAGCAATGTTAAAACTGATGCTTTAACTACTATTCATTCCGTTATAGAGACACTCTCGCGTGATTCATCATTAGAAAATGAAGTGTTAAATGGATCATATAATTTAAGGAAAAATGAAACTAAAATAGAAATATCTTCTTTAAATGTAAGCGAAATTAGTGCGTAATCTACGACAAATTGTATATTGTTGATGATCGTTAAACATATAAAATAAACAGAAATAGTTACAATACAAAAGACATATATTTATAAAATGGCTAGGTATGGTTTTTATTTTTTGGTCGTGTGTTGCTTTTCTTGTCAGGAGCATTTTACATCTTACCATACGGTTTCATTGAAGGCCGTTCAGTGACCTGTATTTGTAAACTTCATCGTTCTTACTTCTATACTGTATAGTTCTGTCATTAATAGTCACACCATATCTTCTTATGTTTATACTAGGAAAAAAAAGAGATTACTTAAAATATTAAATTGATATCCTCAATAAATCCGGTTATAAGGTACGATAAGATTATTACATGGATTGGATTTTAGTTTGCAAACTTTACATACATATACATAAGGAGATTAAATTGCTTCCATGAAAAATGGTATCTTTAATGTAAGCTTATCTCCTTATAACGAAATTGGAATGGCTGAAAGAATCATTGACAAGTGAGTTGTTTTCACAGATTGCTGCTTCATTGATTTGATTATCTTAAAGGTAAAATTCGCGATTTTTTACTTATAGTTTAAATATGTCCATTATAACATAAAATATATATTCACAAAGTTTTATTGCTATATGTGCAGTAATAAAGAAGAAAATCGATAATTAATATTTTTTTATTGACTACTTCCTGTAGTACGTGACGTTAACCTCTGGTATTGCATGCCGGAAATTAAAGTACAATCATTTAAAGTCTTGGTCTTTAATCATATTTTAACTTAATCATAAGGAAGTACACCACTAATT